GATTTTCAGATTTTCAGATTTTTCTAGATTTTTTAGGTTTTTCTATTTTTTAGATTTTTCCAGATTTTGGGATTTTTTCAGATTTTTTTAGATTTTTCCAGATTTTTTTTTCTTTCAGATTTTTCAATCTGGAAAAATCTAAAAATTTAGAAATTAGAAAAATCTAAAAAATCTGGAAAAATCTTGAATTGTTTTTACAGGATTTCCCTAAAATTTACAAGATTTCCCATCTGGGAAATCATGTCAGGGATGATGTGTGACCATATACACTTTTATATATAGATTTTTATGCTTAATATTAATTTATTATTTATAATATTTTTTCTTGGGCTAGTCTTGAGATTTGACTATGAGTTGTAATTGTTATTTTTATTATTTTATATTTTGAGGCCTATGGGTATGTATATACCTCAAGGCTGACAGATAGTAGATAGCCGGTCTCAAAGAGTCTGTAGGTCACGTCCGATAGGAGCCCCCCGCTGTAAACCTCGTTGTTGTGATCACGGGTGACCAATCGTTCCCCCATCCACTTCGTTTGGAAAGTGAAATGTTTGATACCTGGTTTGAAAGATGATGAAATGATGAGAAGCCCCATGCTACGAGGTTTACATTAGCAACACGCAATAGAAAAAAAATGATGGTAGACTTACTGGTTCCATTGAAACATATCATGTAAGAACTTATCTCCTAATCCAGCTCCTCCCTTCTCTGGGTTGACTCCGAGTTCGGTGAGGACAAGTCGATGATGGTAGCGCAACCGATCCATGTTCACAAAGGCCTCGTGGATCTGGGTCACACTCTCAAATGGGTTCAAAGGGGCTGTTGGCTTGCCTAACTGAAAATCCACAATAAAAAACAGATTGATCAGAATTGATGGTATCCACGGCCAGCTTAGATGAAAAATGACCTTGAGCTTGAAAGCCCCAGCAGTTGGGTTTTTCATAATCTCCTTCTTGAGCTTGAGCTTGGCTAGTGGGTCCGGCTTCTTTGGGGCTGGCCATGGGTGGTTTTGGGTGCCATGGTGTCGGAGAATCCCCCATTTTGTTATGGTGTTTTCATCGATCCGAGTGATGGTGTTCTTGCATGCCAGATGTCCGACTTTCCCAGGACATTTCCCGGCTGCACCTGGGCATTTTGGATCCCTGATAGGGTGAGGGGGTGGTGAACTGGTCAGCACTGAACAAAAACCAAGCCAGAAGCAAGAAAGAAAATGATATAGCAAGATAAAAAGAAGAAGGCTTACGTTTGCAAGTATTCAGCTATTGCATCCTTGGCGGTTGGCGGCAAACCTACCCACTGGCATCCGGGCTGGTTACAGATGAAAGAGCCAAGGCAAAACATTCGGATCATTTTCCAGGTTTGATCCACTTGCCATTCCACATTTGATGTCTTGGGGAATCCAACAAATCCCCAAATGTGGACAATCATATCGGGGGTTTTGACAAAGATTGTCTTGCGATTGGGATACAGCGGATATGGAGCTGATAACCGCTTGCCAGTCGTGCACGACAGGCGCAGATTCGTGTACCAGCATGGGGCAAAGAAAAACTTCTGGCCTTTGACTCGTGGCTCCAATCGGCAGGGTCTTCAGGGGAATTCGACTGCTGGGATAACTCCTCGTGAAAGCTGGTGCTGTCTCTCACTCGTCCAATATCAAAAAAGCTAATGTAGTGAGAAGC